GCGCACGCAGCCACCTATGACCATACGGCTTCCACTTACAGGGAACGAACATGTGTTTCTGCCACAAGCTTTCTAACCAATGGCGTCTACAACGGAGGTTCCAGTCGGTGGGTTCTAAGTCAGCCAACCCTCCAGGCCACTGGGAAGCCTTTGTTCCTCTCAGCAAGTGGCCTGGGAGACTCCACCCAGGACAACACGATGGAGACGCGGGGGAGCTGAGTTAAGTGAAGCTGTGCGCTCTGCCCGCCTTCCCTTCCTACCTGAGGAGACGCCCCGGCCCCCAGGGAGGCAGCCCCGCCTCCTGTGCCAGTTGTCTCCCTTCCTCTCCAAGTTCCTAATGACGCCCCCAGCGGAGGCCTGTGCCCTTTCCAGCCACGATGACCCTCAGCATATGGGCACCTCCTTTTCTGTTTCATTCCAGCTACTGTACCCCCACGCGCTTGTGAGCACCACCTGCCCACCCCTAGTCTAGCCAGTGCCCGTCGCACTTCCATCAGAGCCACGTCACGAGAAAGACGCAGGAGAACACTTCCCGCTGTGCGCACCTGCCGGTGCTCCCAGCTCCCAGGCACCCTCTCCGCTTCCTAAGGCAGCGGGTCCTGCTTCCCCTTCCGTAGGTGACACGCTGAAGCTCAGGGCGGGAGGGAGCTGCCCAGCAGGCATCAGCCCCGAGGCACCCGAGCTGAATGGAAACCGAGGTTGCCCGTCTCCCAGCACATCCTGGTCCCCTCACGCGCTGGAGGCTGAGCGTGAGGAGAAAGGCCTGTTAGGAATAAGGCCAGTGGTGGCCCGTTTTCAAGGCCAGGCATGTAACCCCGAGTGGAGAATCGCTGCTCGCCTGCTGTCATAGCGGCCTGCGGGCAGGCAAAGCTCATGCGCCTGGAGAGTCCGGGCAAGGATGCTGGGGAGGGGCCAGTGACAAAGGCATTGAAACTGGGAAGGGAAGGAAGAGGCCTGTAAGGAGATAATGGAACGTAGGGGGCCTCGGGGAAGACTGCACACCCCACAGCGCTCAGCCAGTGAGGAGCCGGGAGGTGACCCGCGCGCTGGGGAGTAAAGTGCCGGCTGTCACGGCTCTGGCCGTGCCCGCCCACCAGACACCGATGTGGCCAGGCCGACATTCAGCACCTCGCTTCTGCTGTGCTGTGTCTCCGTGTCCGCGCTTATAAGTTTTGGACCGGTGAGTGCGTGCCTCACAGACCCTCACTGGACTTCGGGGAGCAGGAGGGGAGGAGCTCAGCCCCTCTACAGAGGAGGAAACGGAGGCCCAGGGAGGGGATCGCTGTGTCCGCGGTCACACCAGGTGACATCCGTGCAGCCGGCTCCTGCGCCAGTGCTCTCGCTGCTGCCCATCTTCATACTCTGTGTCCACGCACTTTCTGGCTGCACCTCTGAGCTCAGAAACGGGACGTCCTGGGGCGGGGGAGGGGGGGCGGTGTGGAGCGCAGGAGGGACGGCGGCGGCAGCACGTCCTGTGCTTTGTGGTTCATTTCCGTCCACGCGCTCCCTGGACTTCCTATGACTGTTAAGTGGACAGCAATTTGGAGCTGTACCAGCCCCTTATTAGGTTGTGCTATTCCGGAGAGGTGACACAGGGTATTTGAAAAGACACAGCAGGTCAAGAACTTTTCATTAAAAAAAAAAAAATCAGTCGAGAAAAATAATTGAGTCAGAACGTCTGTCCCACATTTGGGCTGGGCACCCAACAGGCTTTTCACCGGATGTGGAAGCGCTCCAAGCAGGCCACGCCCTCTGGCACGGGCTGAGTGTGAGCCTCCTGGGTCTGGCCTGGCCTTGCAGAGGGGCCAGACCCAAGGCCACCAGGCACCAGGCAGCGCCTTCAGCTGCAATGTGTCTGACATACGGACTTGTCTCTACCAGGGGACGGGAGCTCCTGGCGTTGGCTCATCAGGTCCGGGCGTGAGCTGACGCTCTGTCATACACGCTTCCTGTCTTTGTTTCTGTAAGACGACTGTCACAGCTCTGGGTGTCCATGCCATGTGCAAGCACAAAAGAAGGAGCAGGTGGGAAAAGGAATCTCCATCAATCCTTGCTTCTCCCTCCTCCCAGCCTCAGCTGTGTCCTCACACTGGCTTCTCTTGTGCTAGCAAAACAACGCCGCCCGCCCCCCACGCCCCCAGCACCAGGCCTCACGCCCACCCTGCTCTTAAACTGTTGGCTCTGTTGATGCTTCTTTCCAACATGAATTACAAGTTCCTCCCAAGCGGGGCTACTCTCTGCTTCCCAAACACGCCACTCTGCTACTTCCTGGTTGTATCAGTTAGCTATTACTGCATAACGAGCAGCTCCAACATGCAGTGGCCTAAATCCACCAGCACTGATGGTTGCTCACAGATCTTCAGGATAGCCCTGTGGCTCTTCCATTCAGGACTGGGCTCGGCTGGCCTTGGCTGAGCTTGCCAGGGGGGAGCTGGTCTAGAATAGTTTGCATGGGATGAATTAATTCTTCTTCTATGTGCTTCTCACATCCCTCTAACAGGTTAGCTAGAGCCTGTTTCCGTGGTGATGGTGGGGGTCTTACAAGCCCAATCCTGTAAGAGGGCAAGTAGAGCCGTGTCCTTGCCATTGAGCCTCTGCTGACATCATATCACATTGGCCAAAGCAGGTCATGTGGCCAAAGTCCAGAGTGTGTGTGGAAGGGGACTGCAGAATTACAGGCAAAGAGTGGGTGCAGGAGGCCAGTGACTGAGGTAACTGGTGCGGTCGGCCGCTGGGTGGAGGACTTTGGGAGGGTAACTTAACCTGGCTGTACTTCAGTTTCCTCGTCTGTAAAATGGGAGTAATGACAGTGCTGCCTCGTAGGGTCAATGCGTCATTACGTGTAAAGTGCCTGCCTTTCCTCTCTCTCTCTCTGGGCTGGCACTGGCTCATCCCTCAGGTCTCAGGTGTTGGGCTGATGGAGGGAGGGCAGGGGGTGATGGAGATGATCACTGGGCCAGCAGTCAGGATCCTGGTTCTAGATGCACCTCTGCCAATAACTATCTGCCCTGCTCAACACTAGGGCCTCAGTCTCCTAATCTGTAAAATGGGATTATTAACACCTCCTTGCCTCATCTCTGCTTGTCCTTGTTCAGTTGTTCATTACTCAGGGCCCCCCATAGTCCATCTACACCCACATGAGCCATGAGCAGAGGAGCTATGGGGGCACATCCATCGGGCCTCTGTCCTTGGCCTCCAGGCAGCTCCCTCCCCACATCCCAGCACATGGTGCCCCATTTTTGGATTGAAAGTAACTGTATCAGTTTCTATTGCTGCTGTAACAAATTACCACAGATTTAGTGGTTTAAAACGGCACAAATTGATTCTCCGACAGTTCGGGGGAGGGGTCCGGGAGGGTAAGAAGTCTGACAGGAGTCATTCTGGGCTAAAATCAAGCATTTATTTGGAGGGTTCAGGGGAGAAACCCTTTTCTTATCTTCTTCAACTTCTGGGGCCGCCCACATTCCTTGGCCTGTGGCCGCTTCCTTGCAACCTGCTTGAATGAGGCAGGTTTTGGGGATGGACCATGACCTACTGACTGTTGTGCCTGCAGCGGGTCCTTTATGGCAGCCAACGCTGCCCACTGCCCACGGAGTGCCTCCTGCAGGCCAGGGGCTGCTCTCGCACCTTCCTCTGTTGCCATTTGACCTCCACGGCCTGTGGACGAGCCGTCTTATCCCTCGTTCACACATGAGAGAGAGAGAGACTCAGGGAGTGAGAGCCCCTCCCCAGGCCACGCAGACACGTGGCTGCAGACCCCACTCCTATGCATGGTCTAGCTGCAGTGCACAGCCCTTATGTTTCGCTTGTTAGTCTCTCCAGGGCCAGTGTGGGAACCCTAATCGGAGGACCCTGGACGATCCAGGCCAATTTGCCCTACGCACGCGTGCAGGCGAGGACGGAACCTGTGTGGTGAATGTAGCACGAGCGTCAGGAACCGGCACGAGGCCTCGTCTGTTTGCGTGTGTGTGTGTGAGTTGCCCCTGAGCAGCCAGCTGGCTGGGCTGCTTTGAAGAGCTGCTCTGTCTTGATGGCTCCCGTAGTAGCAATGGCTACTCAGTCTACAGTGAAGTCCCTCCTGTAGGTGCCCACGGCTTCTCATGTCTCCATCTAGTGCCCGGCGTCTGAGGAGCTGTGCCCCACAGCCTGACACTGGGCAGAGTTTGCAGAGGGAACAGCGAATCACGTTATCATTGTAACCCTTGCATCACGGCACCTTTGCCCCGTGTTCTGTGGGTTCGGGGCAGGTCACAGGTCACACCCACACTCCAGGGGAGGGGCTGTGAACATGAGGGGTGCGGATCACTGGGTGCCCATTTTGAAGCTGCCTCCCACACTTTACAATCCGGGTTTCAGCTCCACTGCCCTCTGCCTTTGCCTATGCTGTTCCCCTGCCTGGAGTTCCAGCCCTCCACCTGTTCTCAGCTGAGGTCTGTGCTTAGATGTTATTTCTTTTGGGCTCAGCAGCACCCAAATTGGTGCTGCTTTCTTCCATCATAACACATATCACCCTGCAGTGGAATTTTTCTATTTCATTGTCAATCCACCCTTCCCTACCGCCCCACCCCCCCCACCTGCCACCGGGGCCTAATGTAGACTTTACACAGGACCTGGCACATTGTGGATGCTGAATAAACACTTATGAGCGTATGAAGCAATGGGCTCTAGCGTGTAACCCAGAATCCTGACTCCCAGGCCTGGTCCCTGCCCCCTGCCCCCTGTCCCCTGCCCAGGGCCGGCTGCTGGACACCCACTCCCCGAGCCCCAGGCACCTCAGTAACCAGGCTCGTGTCCTGTCTGAGTCCCCTGACCTTGAAATAACTTTCCCTGAGTTCCCAGGTGCACTTTCCTGAAACCTCGCTGTTCCTGCCTCCTCCGCCCCCGCCTTGTAATGAATCCCGTGGCCCTGCCAGGACTGGGAAGCTCATGACTAAGCCGGGAGCTGCCCACATTCCCCCAGAGCGCCAGATGGGAAGCATCAGCTCTGTCTCCGCTGAGAGCTGCCACGGGAGAGGCTCCTGGAGCTGCTAGCGGCCAGGGGAGGATGCAAGGTGTGCGTCTGCAGGAGGAACTGCTTCCTGTGTTACCAGGAGACACCGGGTGTCCTTCGCAGACCCATGCCCAGGGGCAGGAGCGCTGCGCGCACGATGGTCGTGACCTTCTGTGCTCCCTCTCCTCCTTGGGGTGGTTAGAGCCACGGAGGGGGCAGGGGGAGGGAGGGCTCTGGACTGTCCAGACTGGGAGGCGCGGGAGCCAGGACGGCGCTGGGCGGGTGAAGGCCGTCCCTGTGCCTTGGGAGGAGGCCGGGAAGGCCGGCCGAGCGAGTGCTGGGCAGCTGTCCTTCCCCTTTCCGTCACACCCGCCTCCTTCTACCAGCCGTCCCACCAGCCCGTCCTCCCCGATGGTCCTCCTCACGCTTCTCCACCACACGGATGCCGACCTGCGTTCTTGCCGGGGCGCCCACACCTCCCTGTGGCCTCTGCCTTCTGCTCGCAAATCCTCCCGCTCATTCTCCACACACGACCGGCCTGAGCTTCTGAGCCCACAACCCACTCCTGCTTCTGCTCGGTCTCTCGGGCCCTTGGCGGCTCCTGTGGACTTGTCACCACCTCCTCCCCTCGACGCTCTCCCGCTCCTCACGCCCGTCCCCTCCAACACCCAGGCCCACCCGCCCTGCACGGCCTCCCGGAGCAGCTCCCCAGCCACAGCTGCTTCTGGGCGCGTCCGCTCAGTGCCCTGCAGAGAGGTCCTCCTAGACCAGTGGTCGGCAAACTGCGGCTCGCGAGCCACATGTGGCTCTTTGCCCCTTGAGTGTGGCTCTTCCACAAGTGCCCACACATGGTATTTTGTGGAAGAGCCACACTCAAGGGGCCAAAGAGCCGCATGTGGCTCGCGAGCCGCAGTTTGCTGACCACTGGCCTAGACCACATGGCCTCATGTACCGGCGCCTCTGGTCCCCTGCCTGCTTTCTTTCCCGAACCCTGGCCACATGCAGAATTCCACCAGCTGCTTTCTGTCTATCACCTGCCGTCCCCACTGGAATGGCCGTTGATGAGAGGAGAGAGAAAGGTGACTTTTCCTACACCACTGACCCCCCGCCCCCAGGGCTGTGCCCAGCACAACGCAGGGGCCCGGCACATCTTTACAGAACGAATTAGGAAAGCGGGTGATGGGAGGCCGAGGGAGGGAACCAGGAAAGAGGTCAATTTGGCACCTAAGGGGGTGGATGAGGACACTATCTGAGAACAGCCACTATCTGAGATCCAGTAACAATCCAATATAATAAAAGGGTGATATGCAAATCGACCGAACGGCAGAACGACCAGAACACCTGCAGCCCCTCACCCCGGCTGGTCCCGCCCCCGAGTGGGCACCCCCACCCCTATCCGGGGCAGGGCAGCCGGCAAACCGTCCACAGCCCCTTACCCCAGCCAGCCCACCCCCGATGGCCCCCATTGGGGCTGGACTACACCAGTGCATGAATTCGTGCACCGGGCCTCTCATAAGTACAATAACAAGGCTGCTGTTGTGTTGGGTTGTGCTTTAGGTTCTGAGATTGTTCAATTTATCCATAGGGGCTGGTTTCAAAGCACTAACCCAGGGAGACCCGCCGAGGAAACTGCTCCCTCAGAGACCCGAAGGCAGAGGAGTTGCTGAGGCTGGGAACGGGGCCAGAACAAGAGGGAAGGAAGCGGAAAACAATGCCACACAAAGACAAACCCCGCACGCCCCCACGGTAAGCGACTTCCTTGTTCACACTCTCAGTCATCTACACTGTCATGTTTTAGAGCTTTGAGCTACAGGAAAAGGAGTTCACAAAACTTGAGTCTACACAGAACAGAGGGTACTGGCCTGTATTTTAAAGAGACGGAGACAGACCATGGACACAGATGAGCAATCGCTCGCCTTCCTGGACTGAGGGTCAGGTGCTGAGGGAGAGTGAGCGGACGGAAGATTGCGTGCAGACAAACACAGTCAGAATGAACAGAGACCTCGCATTTCATAGTCACAACAGCCCAGCTAACAGGTAGTTGTGTGTGTGTTTGTTTGTTTTTTAAATATATTTTATTGATTTTTTACAGAGAGGAAGGGAGAGGGATAGAGAGTTAGAAACATTGATGAGAGAGAAACATCAATCAGCTGCCTCCTGCACACCCCCTACTGGGGATGTGCCTGCAACCAAGGTACATGCCCTTGACCGGAATCAAAACTGGGACCCTTGAGTCCACAGGCTGACGCTCTATCCACTGAGCCAAGCCGGTTAGGGCTGTGTGCGTGTTTTTAATATCCTCACCTGAGGATTTGCTTATTGGTTCTAGAGCAGTGGTTCTCAACCTTCTGGCTCTTTAAATACAGTTCCTCATGTTGTGACCCAACCATAAAATTATTTTCGTTGCTACTTCATCACTGTAATGTTGCTACTGTTAGGAATCGTCATGTAAATATCTGATATGCAGGATGGTCTTAGGCGACCCCTGTGAAAGGGTCATTCAACCGCCAAAGGGGTCTCGACCCACAGGTTGAGAACCGCTGTTCTAGAGAGAGGGGCAGAGAGAGAGACAAACACTGATGTGAGAGAGACAGGACCTGCTGCCTTCCACGCGTGCCCTGATCGGGAATCGAACCCGCAACCTTTCAGCGTACAGGACGATGCTCCAACCAACGGAGCCACACGGGCAGGGCCCCGCTCACCAGTTTTGTCGCCCAGAAGGGCCGGCAGCTACTTCAGAGCGGAGACAACATGTTTGCACGGGATAAACCAGGGTCCAAGAGATTGCCTCCTGGCTTAAAAAGCAACAACAAAAAACTAGTTAATTCGTCTCCTAAAGAAAGATTTCTATTTCTGATTTATTTCCTCCTGCAGGCGGCGCGGGGAGGGGAGGTCACAACACTGCCGCCCACCACGGTTCATGGAGACCCAGGGTCCCTGGAGGAAGCTGATTAGCGTGCGAGGCATCCCGAAGCTAGTGTCAGAATGAAAACTCGGCTTAAAAAAACAAAACCAGCAGCAACAAAACCCACAAAAGAACAAATTCAGCTTCAGTGTCCCCTCCATTTCAGCCCCAGAATGTCTCCTGGACAAGGCGGAGCCCGCGGGGCCAGAGGTTAAGTAGACGCTGCCCTTCATTGGGCTGGAGCCGCTGGGAGCCCGAGCCCTGGGGACACAGGTGCGGCTGGACTTGGCCATGTGACGGCCAGCTCTGTCCCCCCCTGAGGCGCGTGTGCCCTGCTGTGACCATCAGCCCGCTTTCCACCCTCAGCACAGAGTCTGCAGGGTGCCCGCAGGTAGAGAAAGAGAGTTCGGGTTTGGGGATCAGACACCCTGGGGTTCAGATCCCAGCTCCTCCACTAACCTGCTCCGTGGCCTCGGCCAGGTGGGGCGGCGTCTCAGCCCTGACGCCTCCTCTCAGTCCCCGTGGGGAACCTCGCCAGGCGGTCGCCTCTCTCCGCTCGTCCAGCCTTTGGCTTGATGCCCGCTCTGTGCCGAGACCCAGCGTTCGCATCGCATCCTGACCAGGCCACCGCGGGCTGCAGGGAACGACCCACTCGCAGCCCATGGCGTCCTTCCGGGTCGTCCAGATGCATTCAGTGAAGAGCCATTTAAAACCACAGCCCAGGAGCCCGAGGGGCGAGGCAGGGCGCCCCGTGCACGCATGCGCAGGACGCTGCCTTCCGCAGGGAGGCTGAGCGCCAGGTGCACAAAGGGGCGCCGCCGCCAATCGGATCTCGCCACCCACCTGGGCAGGTGCGCGCCGAACAGGGCCAGCCAACGAGCAGCCCTTCCAGGAAGACACAGTTCGAGGCCCGGGCCCTCTGTGCGCAGGCCGCTCTGAAGTCACCGTGCACTCAACGCCCAGGCCTCTGCTTGTGCTGTGAGCGCCTTGACTTCCAAGTGCGCTTCCCGCCAGGTCAGCAGGAAGGGGCCCCGAGGGAGTGCCATTCCCAGCGCACCTGTGGGTGCGGTTGCACTGGGCGGAGCTATTTTGAACCAGGTATTCCGGGCCCTTCCTTTGGTCCCGCCCACACTGGGAACACAGCGATGAATAGGAAATGGTAGCCGACCTTCCAGCTCATTTCTCTCCATGGCCTGAGGCCTGACCACGTGCCCGGCTTCACCAGAGTTCTTATTCCTCACAACAACCTCACCAGGTGGATGTCGCCTTGTGTTATAGCCGAGGAGTAGGAAGTTCAGAGGTCAAGTAGGGAACTCAAGGCCAGGCAACCTGCAAGGGCTGCCGCCAAGCTTCAGGGGGGTGTTTCACAGCGAGCCCCACATTGTGCAAGTGCTCGGAGCTGCCTTTCGGTCACCGAGCCTGGGCTAAGTAGATGGGAAGACAGAAAACCTTCAATCTTGTCCAGGCCATGCGAGCCCATGTGTGGAGACTCAGGGGTGGGGAACCTTTTTTCTGCCAAAAGGTTCCATTGGAACCATTTGGATATTTATAGCATCATTCTTGGGCCAGAGTTTAAATAGATGATGCTCTTTGTTATCAATTTAAAAATTGATACAAAGGTCTCAACTTAAAAAAATGAGCCTGCTCTATTTGGCCAGACATTTCATTAACCCACTCCTGATGCCTTGGCAGGGCCAGACCAAAGGATTTCACGGGCCTCATGGAGCCCTCGGGCTGGGCGTTCCCTCCACCCCTCCCCACCTAGTCAAGGCCGAGGGACAGATGCTGTAACCGAAGTCTGAGCAGGACGGCGGGAGGCCAGAGCCTGTCTGCCAGCGGCTGGACACGCGTGCTCCTGGTTTCCTAGCTCCTTTGCAAATGGGAGGGATTAGTGTGGCCGGAGGGGTGGGCACCCTTGCCGCCCTCTCTCTCCATGTCTATGGGGAGGGAGAGGAATGGCTGCGCTCAGTGAATTCAATCCCTGGTCCTCCTCCAGCCAGGCTCTGCCTGAGGGATGGTGCCACTGTCCCCACCCCACCCGCTGCTGCTGGAGCAGAGAAGAAATCAATAATGGAGACGGAAGTGTGCACGAGCAGGCTGGGCCCGGCGAGCGGAGGGATTGTTGCTTCCTCCATTTGGCTCAGATGGTCCTGTCCTATGGGGGAAAACAGCTGTCCTTGGGAGAAATGCCAGCTATAGGTCTGCTAATAAAAGAACTGGCAGCTCACAGCCCTTGCCGATGAGGAAACTCGCACCGGAGAGGCCCAGCTCACTCTGGGCCAACAGACTGGAGCCCATCAGTCCAACCGCACCCATCCCCCACCCCTTCCCAGGCTTGTAAGACGGGGCAGCACCCGGCTGGCTGAAGCCTGCACCCAGCTCTGAGAACAATCCGGCAGGAGCTGAGGCCCCTGGAGGGACTGGTGAACTGACAGCAGCCATTGCCACCTGCAGCTGCTGTTTCCTGAGAGCACCTGCTGGTTCCGAGGCAGCTGGACCGTGTGGAGACTCGAGGGATCTCACACCCAAGGCTCCCCCAGGGCTTTGCACAAAGGGAGGCAGCTCAGGTCGGGATGCTAACAGCAAAGCCAAAGCCAAAGCCAAAGCCCCCAAAGACAGACAGAACCTCCTGCGGCCTCTCTGGGCTGAGACAACGACTTGCCCGGCTCTTGAGAGAGCCGCACGATAGAAATACTGCAGACAGGCGGCAAATAGACTGGTTCTTATTAGAATTGAAACCGAACCGTGACTCAGTCACGGTTATTGGAGTTAAGTTGTTCAATACTTCACTCTATCTGTTCCGCAGAAGAGAGGGTTAACTCCACCTGGCTGGAAAGAAGACATTATCTAGAGCAGCGGTTCTCAACCTTCCTAAAACTGCGACCCTTTAATACGGTTCCTCATGTTGTAGTGACCCCCAACCATAAAATTATTTTCGTTGCTACTTCATAACTGTAATTTTGCGACTGTTATGAATCGTAATGTAAATATCTGATATGCAGGATGTATTTTCATTGTTATAAACTGAACATCATTAAAGCATAGCGATTAATCACAAAAAACAATATGTAATTATATATGTGTTTTCCGATGGACTTAGGCAACCCCTGTGAAAGGGTCGTTCGACCCCCAAAGGGGTTGCGACCTACAGGTTGAGAACCGCTGATCTAGAGCCTTTCCTGTACTTTTAACACAACATTTGCTATTTCTTTAAAAAATTACTCCAAAAACAGAAAGACTATATACTAACTGAAAACCAAGAGAAAAAGCAGGCAACAGAAACAGACCTACTGCTAACCCAGAGTTTTCAGTGTGATCTGGTCCAAGTTTATCCAGGTATCAAAAATGTCATTTAGTGTGCCACGCCAGCACAGCCAAGGGTGATCCCGAGTGGGGGTGATGAAAGGATTAAGAAAAGACAGACAAGAGAATGAAAGCTGGGTCTTGGTGGGACGCTGCCTCCCTGATGAGGAGACAGTGCCCACAAGCCGTGTCTTTATTTTATAGCAGATGCCACGAGGCAAAGTAGGGGCGTGATCACGTTGTTTACAGCATTCTCGTGAGTCTCAACCCTACTCAACTACGTGCACCTGAACTCTATCACAAGGCACGTGGGGTCACGTGTTCGGAACACAGGTTCAAGCTTACAGCTATAGCTGTTGGCTATAATTGTGCTGGGAAGGCTCTGCCCTCTAGCTGGGACTTGCACGTGGCCATGAGAGTACTGTGCCTTCTCATTAGTCCGAGGCTTGAACCTGTCCAAACACTGTAGCCGCGCTCCATATACCCCCTTTTACTTTTGTTTTTAAACACTCCCATTTACACTATCCAAAACACTCTAAATAAATTATTCAGCATCATCAAAACATCAAAACAGACTTCTGGCTATTCACAAAACCATAAACACAGCAATGTTAACAAAAGAACAAAACTCTGGCTAATAACAAAGCGATCCCAATGCAAAACCAAACTACAAACATGTTAACGTTTTCAGGATATCTTACTCACAGTCCTTAGATTTAGCTCCGCAAGATTTTACAGAAAACTGACAGTTCACCAATGCTAGCATAGCTTCCACTTGCTTTTCTAACATCTGCTTGGCCTCAGTCGCCATCTTCTTCAGCTGACTCCATGCTGATACCTCGGTCACTAGCGTAGTAAGATGCCGCTGATGTGAAGATGTCGTAGATGCAAAACTAGTCCCCTGGATCACGCTGTTTGGACGGTTGACCTTGACACTGAGTCAGCACCAGTCCCAGTCAAATCAGCCCTGTCTGGTCCCTTCTCAGTCTCTTTCTTTAGCCGCTGCTGCATGGAAACGAGCAACCCTCAGTCCTGCGGAGCTGGAGACCTCCAACTCTGAGTCTGGCGTGTCACACAGACCCAAAGTCCCAGGGAGCTATCAGGTCGCACAAAGATAACCAAAGCCCCAAAACAATGCAACTGCTGCAAGAGCTTACAATCTAGGTCTAAAACAAAAATTACTTCCTTAAACATCAACCACAGCCATCTTTTACTTTATAGTGGCTTAAACAAAAGCTAGATTTCTACCTTATTTTGTACCTCCTAATTACTTATTTTCT